GGTCGCTGCGAAGAGTTTGCCGTAACCCGCCACTGCGTTTTGCACCTGCGCCGCCGCCGCCGCCGCGGCAGCCTGCACCTGCGCCGCCTGTGCTTGCGCGGCCACCAGCTGCGAGGCCGCCGCCGCGACCGGCAACGGCGGTTGCGGCGCCAGCCGCACGCCCAGCGCCCCGAGCACTACCCGCTTGCCGAGGGCGAGCGCGCCCGGCTGCACCGCCTCCTTCGGCTGAGCTTTCTTGCACTCGACCTTCTTGTTCTTGATCGTGTGGAAGTGTATCTCGCACACCCGGTCCACCACATCTTCATTCTCGAATGTGACGAAGCCGAAGCCGCGGTGGCGCTTCGTTTGCTGATCCATCAGCATCACTGTCTCCTCCACCTTGCCGAATTGATTGAAGTAGGCCTTGACCTCGTCGCTGCTCGTGTCCTGACTGACACCGCCCACGAAGATCTTCTTCGTGCGATTGGCCTGTTTCGCGCGATTCTTCGGCGTCGCGTGCTTCGGATCGATCTTCTTGCCATCCAGGGTGTGGATGGGACACTTGAGGACTTTGTCCACGCTGCCGGGCTCGGCGAACGTGATGAAGCCGAAACCGCGGCTACGCTGTAACCGAACAAGCCGAGAAACCGGCACGATGCACATGGACCGTCTATTGCGTCTCGACCCGCATTGTTGCCAACTTTGTTCTCGCTCTCGCGATCAAATGCTCCGGCATTCGACTGACTGATTTTGCGACGTTTTTTTTTTTATTCGCCTTCGCTCTGTTATCGCAAGACTGACTCGTTTCGGACAAGTTTTCATGACCATCAAAACTTTTCGCGCGATGCTGACGCGATTAGAATGAAACTTAATTTCAATTCAACGATTAATTTATATTTATTATCGCGAGTAAAGCGGCGCACTTTATATTTTCACAATTCTGTCGTGCGTTTCTGATTTTCCCCGCGAATGGTCACCAAAACTGATCCGCTCGTCTTCTCCTAACATAACGAGTTCGATCCGGAATGTAAGAACTAACTCCTAAACGTAGACTCCTAGCTCATTTTGAAATTCTTCACAATCCTATCCTATCGATGATCTCTTAGATCTTGTTATGGACGGTTAACTAGTGCTACCAAACTACCATTTGCATGCAAGACTGTCCAAGCCAATGTTTAAGACAAACATTCTAATGTTACGTGAAACAAAGACTGCGATAAAGACTCAAATCCATTACGAACGTTAAGGAGCTACTGATATGTATATATATATATATACGTATTACATCTGTCCCACCCTGTTCTGATTTCGCGAAGAAAAAAAAAATACCCCGATATTCCACCCCCCGCATTCGACATTTTACGCCTGCAACTCCGACAAAAAAAGAAACTGGCTGCCTCTCCCAATCTTCTTTTAATAATGCGATTAATGCGATTAATATAATACCTAATACAATCTACATCTCTCTGATACTTTATCAGCAATTAATTACACCGATTAGTACAACTTCTCATCTACTACGGTCTACTACGTATATAGTTTCGTGCAAAAGTGGAAGGAGAGATTGCTTGGTGCATCGAATCCTGTAAGGTAAACTTCTTTTCTCTCGCGATGTTTTTGCTTTTCTTTTTTTTTTATTTTATTTCTTTTCGCGGCCGACCCCCGCGAGATGCACGAGATAGTTGGGGTGGGCCGTTGCGGCAAATCATCTGACGCGGCATGAACGCGATTTGGAAACGCGTGGGCAACGTGTGTATACAAGGCTGTTCTCACTGTAAATTTAATAATGCAAATTTAATTATCCCGAAAGCAATGAATACAAACATAATAAAAAAATCGATAACTTTCGCAAATAAAACACCTCTTTAGACATTTCTACATAGAAAATTTATAATAATAAATATCAAATAAATTTGTGTAAAAAAATAGTTAACGAAATAATTCCATCATAGATTATCATACAACTATATATATGTGATTTCTTCGAATCAGCAGAGAAAAGTAATTAAATAATTCTTTACATAAATTTCTGGAAAGTATTTTTCGCTCGCATTCTTTCAATCAATGCATTTCATTGATGCGGAAATTTTACAAACATTCGATCCACGAAAATATTTAACCAGACACGGACAGAATTTTTGCGATTATTATTATAATTTGGCAGCAAATTAAATTGCGTGCGAACAACCTCGTACAATGAATAACCGTAAATTGATCGGGCGAGCAAGTCGAGAGTTAAATTGGTGAACCGACCTGCGTGACCGGATCCTTCATGATGAGGACATCGGTGACAGTGCCGAACACGCCGAAATATTCCCGCAGTCTCTCGCTGCTCGTCTGCCAGGAAAGGCCGCCCACAAAGAGCTTGCCGGGTGCCGGGTCGCCGCCGTTCGGCGTACTCCTGCCGGAGCTGCCTGAATGGCTACCGTTTATCGGCACCAACGTGTTGTGGAAGTCGTGCTCGATCGCTCCGTTTGTCGCCTCCATGCCGGCGCTGCAAACAATCAAAGATAAATCGATCGTTAGAGGGGGCTATAATTAAATGAAGGTCTGCGTGACATTTTGGCTCGCGATCTCTACGGTAGATCGAACGCCGCTAAGCGCCACTGTTTATATCAGAGACAATTATCGTAAACATACATAATCTAATTTGATAAATCTAGAATTCTTTATACTTTTATTTTCATAATATTTATAAATGTTCACAAGTGAGCGCTTTTTAGTAACTGTGACGTGAGAGCCAAGCATGTTCTTTAATGACTCTCGTGTTGTAACAGCTGCGACAACTCTCTACTTATCACGTCATAGCTATTTCTATGGGAGAAAAAGTGTGCGTGCAGACGGCGATAAGCATCTCACAAATATTCAGCCGGTTTTATTAAGAGGCCGCGCTCGTACTTTTCGTTTCAGATAATACCGGTCGTCTTCATTCAAGCCTGTTCGTTGATCGGCATGCCCCTCATGATGGCCCATCGGGCATTCGTCACCACGATTGATGTTCAGTAAGTAAGCGCGCGTTTCACTGGTGCTTAAACGAAATAAACATCCTCTCTCCGACAAGGTGTGTAAAAATATGTCATTTCGCAAAACGATCGCGTCAGCAAATCCTGGAAGTTGGACGGAAAATAGCGCGGCCCGTCTATTTCCGTCGGCAATCTACATTCTATGTATAACGCCAATGTGTTAAGGTCACTGTGTCTGCCGAGCCAACGGCCTTGGCACTGCGTTTCACGTCCGCTTCACGAGGAACTTTTACTTATGCCGTGTTACAGGCGATCGCCCGCGTCTGTTAAAAACCGCGAACAATTTTATCGTAAAAAGCGCGCGCGATCGAGAGACGGCCAAGTTTTGTTCGCCGTTTTCCCGATTATCATTTAGAGAGTTTCGCAAATTGCGAAACTAGGCGCGAGAAAGATATATTTTTTCCAAGCGAGCAAAAAGTATTATCGTCTTTCCAGACTGACCAGTTATCAGAGATTTGAGATACCATCCGTGCCGAGATTTTTCGACCTGCGAAAACCTCGTAGTTTGAAGGTAAGCTGTCCGCAAGATTATTTATTAGTATTAAAAAAAAAATTGTTTCGAGTCACGCTATTTTATGATAATTTTTACGATGAATATGAATAAGAAAGTTTTGATTCGGTAAGGTAAGCTTTTAGGCGGAGTTTCGCTCCAAACTACGGAATAATCGATAATTTCGTGAGAAAGGAGCGTAATGAATCTGTTTTGTATCGTAATAAATTTCCGGCCGATATCACTATCGCCATCGAATGTGCTTATATTTTTAGAGACACGGATAAACGCCAACATCGATTATTTATCGTGGACAAAACAAATAGTTAAAATCATTAATTAAATGCAATCTCGGCAACGTAAATAATTGATACGCGTGTCCTGTGTATTTTCAAGCGAGAGCAATCCTGACGAAAGAGAAAGATAGCGGATACCTTAACCTCCATTAATTATTTTTACAATTATATTGATTTATCGCATATCGTGTTATCGTTGCCTTGCCTACGTACGCTTATATTTGACGTCGCTAAATAATTCATGTTATGACTGCTGTGTATCGCGTTTAAAACTCCACGCGCTTTACTGCGAGAGAGCCCTTTTTGTGCAACAACGGCGAACTGCTCGTTTCATAATGCCGTAATTTGATTTTCAATTAAATGTAAAACGCCATCGGCCATATTTCGCCCGCGATAAAGCTTTGTCTTCCGCTTTGTGTTATTTACAACGTGGCGGCGGGCGCGTCGTGTCGCGATTTCCGTTCGCGAAATGAGGACATTCCGCGCGCGATGCACGCGCCGCCGGATGCGCCCTCCTCTCCAGATCAAAGATCTTATACCGCGAGCGGCGATTAATGCCACCGCGGCGGATTCAGGACGGCGGAGCTCGCGCGCGCCCATCCCGCGCGGCGCATGTGACTCGAGAGATACGGACGAAACTAAGAGAAACTACGGTCGCTCCGTCGTGTATATCTAACTTGAGATATACCGTGCCCGTCGCGGTGCCTTTTCCCTCAGGATCCACATAACGCGTCGTACGTTCACCAGTGGCCGTATACGTGGCGGCGGCGGCGGCGGCGGCGGCGGCTGGTGGGTGCACGGGGAGAGAGGTTGCACGAATGGATGGGGCGGCGGGGTGTGTCGTGTAACGATAGGGTGGACGGTCGGAGAGAGGAGTGAGGGGAGTCGCGCGTTAGCCCGGTTCGGATATATCGCCGCGAGCGGCATGGTCGACATGCGCGCAGCGAGGGCTGTCGCGGGGGTGCGGAGCGGCGAGCGGATAGGGTTGAAGCAGGATGGAATAACAGGGTGGAGCGGAAGGTCCCGGCGAGCGAGAGAAAAGAGGAAAGAGCGAGCGAGCGAGCGAGAGGGAGGATGGGAGAACGAGCGAGAGAGGGTGAGCGCCGGGAGGGTCGAAGAGCGAAACGGGCGAGTCGTTTGGGGGTTGGGAGTGGCGCGGCGAAAGGGATGAAGCGGCGCGGGACGACGGGGGCGACGAGGCAACGTCGTGGGGCACGACGCCGACGAGAACGCGCAGCTGGTGGATCAATACACCCCTCCGCGGCGTTTCTTCTCGCCGTGTGCGATTCTCGCTCCGCTCGGCTCGGCGCCGCTCCGGTCATGTTGGCTAACCCCTCCCCCCACTCCCGCTCGCGATATCTCCCTCCATCCTTTTCCCTTCGCAGTCCGCGGAAGCCGCGATCGGCCTCGCCGCGGAAAACGTCTTACGACGCGCCGCCGCCGTTGCCTTTCTTCTCGCTCCTCTCCGTCCTCTTTCCTTTCTCGCGCTTTGCTCGGAGACGGGACGTCGTGATTATTAAACTATTTTTTTTTCTCTCCCACTTCTCGCTCTCCGGTCTTTATATCTTTCCTTCGCGAGAGACGGTTATTATTGTAGGTATCGGAAAATTTTGCCAGACAATTTTTTCTAGCGATTTTGCAAAAAGGATGCGGGTCGGGGAGAAACGTCTGGGTGCGATATATCGTTTATGTCTTCCCTCGCGATTTACCGAACGACCGACCGACGTCCGTTACTCTTAATATTCAATACGTCGGGTTTTTTTCTTCTCGAAACGCGATCTTTTCGGCACGACGGTACTTTCGAATTGTCATCCGAAATTTTCGGTCCGCAGGGAAAATCGATCGATGACACGTTCGCCGCGCGCGTTCGTTCGCCCGCATGCACGCATGTCAAATTGTACAGACGCGAGATATCTCGACGAGATGCCGATGAATAAAGCCGCGGAGGAAAAGCTTGCTGTCATTGGACTCGGCGGGAGATTCACCGTATCGTTTTCATCGACGAACCAGCTGTATTGATCCTTCGACTTTCCCCGATTTTTGGAGTTGCCGCAGCGCGCGTTCCACGCTGCGCTCGCTTTTTAGCTGAAAACAATGCGCTCGCATTTAAAACTTTTACCGACTTGTATATGGTAAGAAATTAAAATATCGCATGCAAAATATGGGTGAAAAATAATCTCGCGCTGCAGATTCGATATTTCTTTTGAAGTGACGTGCGCTTTGCGGTCGTCGAAAGCGCCGCGAAATTGAGATATCGCCGTGTAAAGCGAGATTAAAAAACATTTGATGCGGTCGAGTGGCCGATTGAACAATCAGCCGGCGTGATATAGTTTGTTGATTGTTTAATCAAGCTACATCATCGGAAAAAGTATCCATTCGTTGGATATATTGGTCTCGCGGTGATACGTGACCGAGCGATCTGCGGTCGTTTCGACGCAAAGCCGATCAAACGTGCATTATCAAATTCACGAATGTCCACAATGTGACGAACGATATCCTCTTCTACCGATGACCTCGATCGTCTTACGTTGCGCCGAGGACGGAGAGAGTGGAAAAAAAAGAAAAAAAAACAAAATGAGCGAGAAGGAAGGAGGAAGAGAAGAAAGAGAGGGAGGAAAAAGAGAGACACAAAAGAGAGAATCGAGAGAAAGAGAAGCAGCGATACACACACACACACATACACACACGCACACATAAAAGGATTGGATGTCGAAGGGGTGGCGATGTGTAGTTTCAGTATTTTCAGTATCGCTAGACATCCCAGTGCCTAGCAGCAGTCTCCGCGTCCGCCCCCACGCAACGTCGAGGGGTTGTACGCGGGGTCCCTCTCTCGCGCTGGCGCTACTCTTCCGTACCCTGAGCCCCCTACATCCCTCCCTGTATGCCGCGACTCTATCGTAACAGACACACACACAGACACACACTCTCTCTCCCTCTCGCGCATGCGTACGTACACACACACACACGCGCGACCGAGGATCATATTGAAGACGTAGAGGGTGAGTTTTCCTCGCTCAGGTGGGGGGAGGTTCGAAGGTAGAAGAGCTCCCCAGTTCTAGTGGGGGTGGGTGGGGAGAGGGCGCGGAGGCGCCGCCACCACCGAGCGACGCAGTGCCGTCGGGACGCTCGACCGAATGATACGGCCTTCGCAAAGGGGGTGTTTTTCGCCGGCCGCCATATCTCGCCACGGCGATCCGTTCGACGGCGATTCGCACGGAAAAGCAGTACAGAGAAACGCAAGCCGAGAGGGAGAGAGAGAGAGAGAGAGAGAGAGAGAAGAGAGAGAGAGAGAGAGAGAGAAGAAGAGAGAGAGAGAGAGAGAGAGAAAGAAAACGAGAGGCTGAAGAACCGCGAACTCACGGAAGGGAGAAATGAGCGGAGAGATCAATCCCCATCGGCCGGGGATATTGTCCTGTCACAGCAGTACGCCTTTAAAGAGTTACTGGTGTGATGGGACATTGTCCTCGTCCTGGTGGTCCACTTCTGATCGCCGCCGTCGCCGTCAGGACTCGCCGAAAAGTACGACAGGATGTGGAAAGTGTGTCCCGCGGTTGTAAGTCGAATTCGTGTCGCGCGCTCGCTTGGTTTCTCGCGGCTAGGCCGGGAGGCCAGAGAGAGGGTGAAGGACCCATTCAGTGTGAGACGACACGAACGAGAGACCTTACGAATGTTGTCGTTCGCACTCGCCACTCGACGACGGGTGAATTAATGCGAAACGCGGAAACGCCCGAACGTCGTGTCACATCGCTTCGAACGCAACCTGAAGATCACGGGAGAGCCAGTTTCTTCGTTCAATTAGCAATTTCTCCGTACAAATCATTATCGTTCCACGCTCGCCAGCGTGGATGCACCATGGCACGGCGATGGTGTTTCCAGTCGATAAAGCAGCTTCCAAGAGGCGCGGCTGATGCCCGTGGTCGATTCAAGGACCCGTTTCGCTTTCCTCGAGAGTCGCATCGCCAGTTCTCTCTCCGTTTCTTTCGTACGCGAAAATAATGTCAGACGATAGTGAAATTCATCCCCGAGCTGATCTGTTAAGGAATCTGTTGACAATATAAAGGAATCACGGAATGACGGAGGCGTTCTGCTATCCGGAACGCATCTACGTTGTGCCTATAGCCCGCAAAATGGCCGGAGCGCGTCCGTGGATATTCCTGCGCGTTATCGTCGCGCAGTGACCTCTCGTCGTGGAGCAACATCGCGTGTTACTCGCGTCGATCCGAATTCACCGCGACCCGGATACATCCCGGAAATTCTCGACGGTCGTCGCGATCGCGAGAAACGAGCGGGAGAGACGCCTCGGATCGAAAGTCGGAGCCCGAAGAAGGTCATAGGTCGCAATGTAGTTTCGGTGGTAGTCGAATGTGTCTGTTTGCCTCGTGCGAGGTCGATATTTGAATAGATAGAAGATTCACGGGGGGGGAAAAAAACAAAAAAAAAAACAGATTTCGTTGGTTATTTGGTGGTTCGTGTACAATTGCGAGAAATTGATTAAAACGAAATTCGAGGATCGTAAAAAAAATTTACAACTCGTCGAAATTCATTTTGCAATTATCGTGTGGTATTTCGAACGCTATTTTGACTTTTTTCCGTAAATATTTCGCGAATACCTCGATACTCTCGTTGTTAATTAATCCCGCCGGTATTAAAAAGACGATCTGGCCTCGTTCATCATGGTTATTTATCTTCTATTAATCGCGCGCCCGTAATAACCGCGCCATTTAC